GCTGAGGCTGAAGCAGGCTGAGGCTGAGGCTGAGGCAGGCTGAGGCTGAGGCTGAGGCAGGCTGATGCTGAGGCAGGCTGAGTCTGAGGCTGAGGCTGAGGCCAAGGCTGAAGGCAGACTGAGGCTGAGGCTGAAGCAGGCTGAGGCTGAGGCTGAGGCAGGCTGAGGCTGAGGCTGAGGCAGGCTGAGGCTGAGGCTGAGGCTGATGCAGGGTGAGGCTGAGGCAGGCTGAGGCTGAGGCCGAGGCTGAAGGCAGACTGAGGCTGAAGCTGAAGCAGGCTGAGGCTGAGGCTGAGGCAGGCTGAGGCTGAGGCTGAGTCTGAGAACTATTGCCCGCAGCAGGGGCCACCAGCCCAAACGTGCTCGCCGCGAGGAGAGAGCTCAACCAACCAAACTTCCGTGGCACTCTCTTTTTTCACGACACGAGCAGCTCTAGGGCGAAGCGGCGACGAGGGAGGGGTGAGTGGACAGGAAGTGGACGTTCGAAAAATCCACCCACTCACACACACACACACACACACACACACACTCAGATACGACGGTTTCGGGGGGTGGGTTCTGCAGCTGGGGGCCCTCGCCGGGCTCCAGGACCGTCAGAGAGCGACTCGGGACGAAAAGGCATCCCTGGGGAGAGGGTCGGGACTTCCCGGGGGGGCCCGCCTGGGAGAAAAGCAAGATGTCCCTCCAGCTCGAGAGGTGCCGCAGGGATATTGGATCTATACGGAGCTGGTCGTGATTCCCCACGGATGTGCAATCTTTTCGCGGCGTGGGATCTCACGGGCGCGGCCACGAGGGCCCATAAGGGTCGTCAATGGTCACAGGGGTCCCCAGGGGTCAATGCAAGGCCCGATGGAGATGCAGGGCTCGCCAAAGGGTCCGGCCCCACGAGGTCACAAGGGTTCCAAGGCTCACCAGGGTCTGAATAGCCAGTGGGTCGCAACGATCACCAGGACCCCAAGAGTCGCAAGAATCGCTGGGGCAACAAGTGTCACCAGGATCGCACCGACCACAAGGGGCCCAAAAGTCACGAGGGCCACCGGGTCACGGAGGCACAAGGGCCGCAAAATGTCAATGCGCAGGAGCAGACAGCCGAGGGCATTCGGGCCGTGGCCAGGGCACGTAGACCCTCGACTTGAGCTTCTCACCCTCCTCTTCCTCCTCCTCCTCCACCACCTCCTCCTCATCATCATCAGCAGCATCATCAGCACAATCACCCGTCATAGCACCACCATTCGCAGAATCATCACCGTTACCGTGAAGAATACTGATTCGTCTACCTAGCATTGTGATGTTCGGCCGATCCCCCTCCTTGTTTTCCAGCCGATCCCCTTCCCCCTCTGTCTTTCCTCCTCCTCATCATCATCATCATCTCATCACCATCATCCGCATCATCACGGTCATCATCACCCTCATAACCACATTATCATCATCAACATCATCATCAGCAGCATCATCATCAGCATCATCATCAGCATCAACATCAGCAGCAGCATCAGCATCAGCATCAGCATCAGCATCAGCCCCATCGTCATCAGCAGCATCATCATCCTCATCAGCATCGTAATCATCAGCATCAGCAGCAGTATGATCAGCATCGTCCTTATCATCATTGTCATCATCATTACCACCACCATGGTCATCATCAACAGCAGCATCAGCAGCATCCGCATCATCAGCATACTAAGCATCATCATCATCATCAGCAGCAGCAGCAGCAGCATCAGCATGATCATACTTCACATAATCATCATCGCCATCATCATTAGCATGACCATCATCATTCATCATAATCCTCATCCTCTTTCTCATCATCATCATCCTCATCATCATCCTAATCATAATCTGCCTCATCATCTTCATCCTGCTCCTCCTCCTCATCCTCCTACTTCTCCTCCTCGTTCTCATGCTGCTGGACCTCCTCCTCATTCTCATCCTCACCCTCTGGCAATTCGTCCTCCTCATCCTCATTCTCCTCTCACCGCTCCTCCCGCAAGGGCGTTCTGCACAAGCCAAGGCATTCAACGCCGCCTTGGACAGGCAGAGCCGCAGATCCCATTTCACTGGCCCCACTTGTCATGCGCGCAGCTCGCTTTTTACCTAACAGCTTTTGCTGATAGGTTTCTAGTGGTGTCAAAAGAGAGCAGCAGATGACTCCACAGGGGGGTCGGGGCGGGACCCGGGGAGCTGTGTCCGAACTCGTGTCCGAATGCGTTTTTCGCAAACAGTCACACACTTCGTGCTCTTCGACCTCCCAGAACTCCATTCCCGGGCCACATTCTGAATGCCCGGAGCCAACTGTAGGCCACTTCGTGCTCTTCGACTTCCCAGAACTCCATTCCCGGGCCACATTTTGGATGCCCGGAGCCAACTGTAGGCCACTTCGTGCTCTTCGATTCCCAGAACTCCATTCCCGGGCCACATTTTGGATGCCCGGAGCCAACTGTAGGCCACTTCGTGGTCTTCGAGTTTCCCAGAACTCCATTCCTGGGCATGATTTGAATGCCCGGAGCCAACTGTAGGCCACTTCGTGTTCTTCGAGTTCCCAGAACTCCATTCCCGGGCCATGATTTTGAATGCTGAGGCACTTCGTGTTCTGAGGCTGAGGCAGGCTGATGGCAGGCTGAGGCAGGCTGGCTGAGGCAGGCTGAGGCTGAGGCCGAGGCTGAAGGCAGACTGAGGCTGAGGCTGAAGCAGGCTGAGGCTGAGCTGAGGCAGGCTGAGGCTGAGGCTGAGGCAGGCTGAGGCTGAGGCTGAGGCAGCAGGCTGATGCTGAGGCAGGCTGAGGCTGAGGCTGAGGCAGAGGCAGGCTGAGGCTGAGGCTGAGGGCTGAGGCTGAGGCTGAGGCGAGGCTGAGGCTGAGGCTGAGGCCGAGGCTGAGGCTGAGGCTGAGGCTGAAGCAGGCTGAGGCTGAGGCTGAGGCAGGCTGATGCTGAGGCAGGCTGAGGCTGAGGCTGAGGCTGAGGGCTGAGGCTGAGGCTGAGGCAGGCTGAGGCTGAGGCCGAGGCTGAAGGCAGACTGAGGCTGAAGCTGAAGCAGGCTGAGGCTGAGGCTGAGGCTGAGGCTGAGGCAGGCTGAGGCTGAGGCTGAGGCTGAGGCAGGCTGATGCTGAGGCAGGCTGGCTGAGGCTGAGGCTGAGGCTGAGGCTGAGGCTGAGGCTGAGGCTGAGGCAGGCTGAGGCTGAGGCGAGGCTGAAGGCAGACTGAGGCTGAGGCTGAAGCAGGCTGAGGCTGAGGCTGAGGCTGAGGCTGAGGCTGAGGCTGAGGCAGGCTGATGCTGAGGCAGGCTGAGGCTGAGGCTGAGGCTGAGGCTGATGCAGGCTGAGGCTGAGGCAGGCTGAGGCTGAGGCCGAGGCTGAAGGCAGACTGAGGCTGAGGCTGAAGCAGGCTGAGGCTGAGGCAGAGGCTGAGGCTGAGGCAGGCTGAGGCAGGCTGAGGCTGAGGCTGAGGCTGATGCAGGCTGAGGCTGAGGCAGCCTGAGGCTGAGGCCGAGGCTGAAGGCAGACTGAGGCTGAGGCTGAAGCAGGCTGAGGCTGAGGCTGAGGCAGGCTGAGGCTGAGGCTGAGGCAGGCTGAGGCTGAGGCAGGCTGAGGCTGAGGCAGGCTGAGGCTGAGGCGAGGCAGGCTGAGGCTAAGGCTGTGACTGCGACTGCCGTTGCCACTGCGACTGCCATCGCGAATGCGACTACGACTGCGAGAACAGCAGAATTCTACAACAGGATTCTCATCTGAATCTTAAGGGGAATGCTTCCAGATATGCTCCTACACATCGCTGTTAGGTTGCTTTGCCGGGATAATTGTACCCTGAAAAACTCCCCAACCCGTCCTCACCCGTCATCCTCCATCCTCCATCCTCATTCCCGTACTCCTCCTATCGTGCCCCCCGCTAACCTCATTCTCGTACTTCCTCCAACCTAACAGCTTTTGCTGATAGGTTTCTAGTGGTGTCAAAAAAGAGCAGCAGATGACTCCACAGGGGGGTCGGGGCGGGACCCGGGGAGCTGTGTCCGAACTCTGAGGCAGGCTGAGGCTGAGGCCGAGGCTGAAGGCAGGCTGAGGCAGACGCTGAGGCAGGCTGAGGCTGAGGCAGGCTGAGGCTGAGGCTGAGGCTGAGGCAGGCTGATGCTGAGGCAGGCTGAGGCTGAGGCTGAGGCTGAGGCAGGCTGAGGCTGAGGCTGAGGCTGATGCTGAGGCAGGCTGAGGCTGAGGCTGAGGCTGATGCAGGCTGAGGCTGAGGCAGGCTGAGGCTGAGGCTGAGGCTGAAGGCAGACTGAGGCTGAGGCTGAAGCAGGCTGAGGCTGAGGCTGAGGCAGGCTGAGGCTGAGGCTGAGGCAGGCTGAGGCTGAGGCAGGCTGAGGCTGAGGCTGAGGCTGAGGGTGAGGCTGAGGCTGAGGCAGGCTGAGGCAGACGCTGAGGCAGGCTGATGCTGAGGCAGGCTGAGGCTGAGGCTGAGGCTGATGCAGGCTGAGGCTGAGGCAGGCTGAGGCTGAGGCCGAGGCTGAAGGCAGGCTGAGGCTGAGGCTGAAGCAGGCTGAGGCTGAGGCTGAGGCAGGCTGAGGCTGAGGCTGAAGCAGGCTGATACTGAGGCAGGCTGAGGCTGAGGCAGGCTGAGGCACAGAGGCTGAGGCTGAAGGCAGACTGAGGCTGAGGCTGAAGCAGGCTGAGGCTGAGGCTGAGGCAGGCTGAGGCTGAGGCTGAGGCAGGCTGATACTGAGGCAGGCTGAGGCTGAGGCTGAGGCTGACTGATGAGGCTGCTGCGACTGCCGCTGCCACTGCGACTGTCATCGCGAATGCGACTGCGACTGCGAGAACAGCAGAACTCTACAACTGGATTCTCATCTGAATCGTAAGGGGAATGCTTCCATATATGCTTCTACACATCGCTGTTAGGTTGCTTTGTCGGGATAATACCCTGAAAAACTCCCCAACCCGTCCTCACCCGTCATCCTCCATCCTCCATCCTCATTCCCGTACTCCTCCTATCGTGCCCCCCGCGTGGCGGGGCCTGCGGGCGACCATGAGAACCTCTGCACCGGAGCGGCGGGCGGCGTCAGCGGCGCCCCCTGCGCCAGGCTCGACAGCGCCGCGTCCCGCGCCGACTCGGACAGCCCCGGGTGCGTCTGGATGTCCTCCTGGAGGTATGCCTCCCCGCACCTGGCGATCGCCAGCCTCTGCAGCGCGCGCGCGGCCACCGCGCGCACCGCCGCACCGCTGGCGCCGCGATGCTGCGCCGCGGAGGCGACGAGCCCCAGCAGGTCCCTGGAGTCGGAGGCGCCGATGGCGGCGTCCGGCAGCCTCAGCGCGTCGTCCGCGAGCCACCGCAGCGCCTCGCACAGCAGCCCGGCGTCGAGCGCGCCGGGGGACCCCCTGCCGCACGCCGCCTGCGAGAGCGCCCGCCACACGAGGCGCAGCCAGCGCGGCCGGAACTCCACGGCCTCGGGGTCGGGCGAGTCGCTGAGCGCCGCGAGCCGGGTGAGCGTGGCCCGCGCCACGGCCTGGGCGGGCCCGCGCGCCGCGGCGGCGCGCAGCAGCCCGCCGCCGAAGTGCCGCAGCACCAGCCGCAGCAGCAGCGGCCCGCAGGCCAGCGCCGACGCGCAGAGGCAGTCCACGGCCGCGCGGTGCGTCTCGGCCGCGGTGGGCGCGCGCAGCAGGCGCTTCAGGTGCCCGAGCAGCGAGTGCGGGAAGGCACCCGCCAAGCCATCCCCGATGTACACCTCCCGCACCCCGGCGTAGTCGTCGTCGAGGAACTCCGCGGCGGAGGCGCAGGCGGCGCCCGGCTTCTGCGCGGGCGGCGCCGGCGCGCTGTTCTCCTTCGCGGCGGCGCGCTGGCGCTGACAGTGCAGCAGGCGCCGCAGGAAGGCCCGCAAGGACACAACCCACTGAGGCCGGCGCAGCACCTCGGCCAGCTCGCGCAGCTTGGCGCCCACCTCCTCACCCTCCGCCCTTGCCAGCTCGAGCGTGAGCCGGTCCACCCGCCCGAGCACGGCCGCCAGCTCCCCGCAGACCTCTGGCGAGCCCATGGCAGGCGCTGGCGCCGTGGCGGCGGCGGCGGCAGGGAGCGGGCCCGCTGGCGGCCCGGGTGTTGCAGGGGCCACCTGGGGCCCGGATGCTGGCGTGCTCCATGCAGGGGCTGCTGGAGAGGCATGGGCCCTCAGGGCCGCTGGCGAGCATTCCGGCGGGGACGCGCGGGGGCCAGAGCTGCGGCCAGAGCCAGCGAGCCCAAGCAGGCGCAAGAGCTGCGGCCAGCAGTCCTCCGGGGCGCAGGAGGGCGGCAGCCGCTCAAGCAGCAGCTCGAGCGCCGCCCGCAACGGTTGCATGGCGGCAGCCGCGATCCGCCCATCTAAGGCGGCCTCGACCACGGCTTCCAGCGACGGCAACGACGCCGACCTGTCCGAGGCGTCCGTTGCGCTGGGGAGCAGCAGCTCGCCGGCCGGGACCGCAGCGCAGAGCTCCTGCGCCAACGCGAGGAGCAAGTTCGCCAGCCGTGACCCGCCCGCACCGCGCCCGTGCAGCTGAAGCCGCTCGAGGCAACCATCCAGCGCCACTGCCGCGGGCATGCGGCCGTCGGCCACGTGCTGCGACAGGAACGCGGCCACGACCCGCGGCTCCATGAAGCCCAGGCTGTGGCCGACGGCGAGCTCCAGCACCGCGTGGTCCTGAAGCCAGGGCGCGCCCCGCAGCTCCGTCAGAGCTCTCCAGATCTCCGGCTGCGACGCCACCGGGATCCTCGGCGCCGCCTCCAGCAGCATCCGCACCACCGAGTCCGCCAGGTCGCGAACGGCCTCGCCAGCCTCCCAGGCCGCCAGGGCGCGGAGCACCTCTTGGCTGCACGCAAGGTGTGGCCCTGGGCACGAGAGAAGAGGCCCGTGGTGCGCGGCCTTGGCACCCGCGGGGAGGCCAAATCCAAGCGCGCTGGCCAGTGGTGGGGGGACCCTGTGGTCCGCACCGAAGAGAAAGGGGAACGACAGGGGGGGCGGACTCAGAGGGAGGGGAACATCGAGCCGGAATCTGCGATACAGCGCCGATAGATTGGCGATGAGCCCCCGAGAGCGAACCCGCACGTCCCTGGGTCCCGGGCGGGCTGGACCGGCGGGCCCGCGTCCTCCTGAGACTGTCCCCGCCCAGCCTTGCCCCTGCAGAGGGCACTTCCACGAAGGGCCGATCTTCGGGCGCGAAGGATCCGGGCCTTGACGGAAACGGAGGGCAGGCGCTCCCGCGGCCAGGGGCCAGAGCGCGCGGCCCCGAGGGCCCGCGCTCGCGGTGCCGAGGACGGCGCGCCCCGCCGCCAGACAACACAGGTGTGCGTGCCGCCTCTCTCTCTCCCCCCATTGGCTGCGGAGCCCCGCGGGGCCGCCCTCCCTGCGGGGCGTCGAGCGGCCCCGCAGGGCCGACTCGGCCCGTTGTGCTGCCTCTGCTGGCCGCGCCGCTCCCGCCGGGCACTCGGCCCCCCCGGCGGGGCCCTCGCCCAGGACCCGCTCGTGGCCGCGAGTGCTCTCGCCGCGTGTGTGGCGGCCCCGCGGCCCGCGGAGGGCCCCGGGAGCCCGGCAGAACGGCGAGCAACCGCAGGGCCCGTCTCCTGACAGGACAGCTGCGTCGATCCCAGCAGCAGGGGCTCGACCACGAGAGGCCTCCCACGGGAGGCCCCAACCCTGAGGCCCCAGGACGCCCACTGGTGTTGGTGTGGGAGCCTCATGCTTCCCATCGCAAAACCGTCGAAGCCCAAGAAACCCAGGGCACCCTGGAGGCGAGCGGGGTGTTTCTTGGCGTGGGCTTTTGGGCTTTGGGGCAAGCGGCGTGTTTCTTGGAGGCAAGCACTGCGTCCTAGGCTTCGTGGGCTTTTCGAGCGGGCCGAAACTTCGGGGCCCAACCCTGGGATGCACAGTAGGGGGCGTCTGTCCTCGATGACTCGAGGGGTGCGTCCGACCAGCCCCCCGTGGGGTGTATCCCGGGGTGCCCCCCCCTGCTCGGAGCGGCCAAGCCTTCCCAGGCGGGCGGAACCCAGAGATCTGGGGGGGGGGGACACCAAAAAAGCAACATCCACAAAAGCGACAAAAAAAACAGCAACAAAAGGAAAACGGAACGCAACCACAAAGAACGCCCGCGATCTCGCTCGGGGCCCGCCCCCCTGCCACGGCGCGAGGCCCCCTGCGCGCGCCGGGCCCGGGAGCGCCTCGTGCCAGGCCGCCGCCCCGCCGCCCCCCTCCAGCGCGCGCAGGGCCGCGTCCGCCTCGGCGTGCAGGTCGGCGGCCCGTGCCCGGACGCCGCCGTCGACGCGGCACGCCGCGCCGCCCGCGCCCGCGGCCGACCGCTCCTCCTGCGGGGCGGCACCCAGAGGTTAAGTCGGGCGCGTCCACCTACAGGGGGGATGCTCGAGGAAAAATAAAAAGGACCCCCAAAAAATACCCTCTCCCCCCCCCAAAAAAAAAAGTCCCCAGACTATTTTTGGACTATTTTTGGATTATCTTTTTGGTATTTTTAATTTGTCGTCGAAAATCCCCCTGTAGGGGGACAGGCCCGACTCAAACCCAAGGGCGGCCCAGAGCCCCCTCGCGCCGCGACGGGCAAGCCGGGCCTGTCCCTCCACAGGAGGAAGATGCGAAGACAGTCAAAACAAATAGTCCGAGGACGACTTGTGTGGAGCATTTGTTTTTGGGCATATTTCTTGTCTCTTTCGAACTTGTCGCCCAAAATCGGGCTGTAAGGGGACATGCCCGACCTAATGCGACGGACAGATCACGGCCCGTGATGCGTTTTTCGTGTCGGGGGCGCCAAATCCACGGATCGGGGGAGGTGCCCTCCCCAAGAGGCGGCCAATGCCGCCTCGCTCGGCGGCGGAAGTCCGCGGCTCCCCATGGAAACGGGGCCCGCCGCCAATCCACGCCCCCCTTGATCCATGCTTGCGATCGCTTCAGTCCCTCTTCGGCCTCTGGAAGCCGCTTCCTGGCTCCGGGACCGGGAAAAAATCACGCCGTGGGAGGCGGTTCGTCGCTTCCGGCCCGTGGAATTCCCAGCCCTACAGGGCCGCCAGAACGCGGCTGCTGAGGGAAAGCCGGGGCCTGTGGGGAAGCGGTCCACACCTCCAGGGGCCCAGGCCTCGAAGAAGCCACCCCCGGCAGCAGATCTGCACGTGCCTGAGCGGGCCGGGCCGAGGCGCCCATCGCTGAGCCATGAGTGGTGGCTCGGGGTCCGCGCGTTCCCCCTCGAGCCCATCCCCTTTCACGTTGGCCCTGCCTTCCCATACCCGCAGCGCCATGATTCTCTGATCACGTCGACCCCCAGGGACCTCCACCCAGTCTCTGGGACAGGATTCCCATCCCGAGTCGCTGGTTGACGGCCCCGAGGCCCGGCGAGGGCCCCCCGAGGCCGAAAATAGTGCAAGCCCCCCCGTCGTGACTTCTTTCTTCAAGGACTCGAGGTGGCCTGGCGTGGCCCCCGAGAGGCGTCCTGCTCCGCCGGCGCCGCGGCCGACGCCCACGCGCCAGCGCGGCCACCGGCCGCGGGCGGCGCCGCGGGCGGCAGGGACGAGGCCCGCGCGGGCGGCTGGAAGGACCCCCGCACCGTGGCGCCGCTGAGGTGGACGCGAGACGAGGACATGAAGCGCGACTCCGCGCGGAGCTGCGGGCCCGCGAGGGAGCTGGCCGCCTGAGGGAGCTGGCGCGGCGGCGACGGCGGGCTCGTGTCGCGGAGGCGCCCCGGCACTGAGCTCTGACACCGCGCGGGCCGCTCGACCCGGGACGGAGGGCCTATACAGAAAGGGAAAGCACGCCACGGACAGAAGCTTCTGGCGCTCCGCGCGGGTTTCTCGGATCTGCGCTGGGCCCCCCTCCCTGGCGCGCGGAGCGCGCCAGGGACGGGGCCGGAGAGCAGCGGGTCCCGAGAGCGTCTTCCTACTCGTTCCCAATGCGCGTGCCTGAAGCCTTTGCCGCAGCTCCTTCGAAGCTCCTCGCGGGGCCGCTGGGAAGGTCCCCTGCGCGGATCCAAGAAATCTGCGCGAAGAGCGCCAAAAGTTCATGTTGCTTGATTTCTTCTTGGAGGGCAGCTTTTCGGTTGCCAGATCGCTCCATTGAAATCGATTCTCGGCCGCTGGCGACGTTCAACCTGGAACGCCGGCGGCGGCCGCTGCCGCGTCGGCGCGACAGGAGCCTGCCGTAGAGGGGGGGGGGACCGGCTCAAGGGCGGGGGTCGTTGGCTTGGAGTCGGCGACGCATCGCGAACAGATCGGCGACAGGCCCTCGAGGGCGACATCGCGCACTCCTGGGCGGGGTCGATGCTCCTCCCCCTGGGCCAGCCCTGCCCTGTCGTCGCCCCTGGCCGCCCTGCTGAGAGCGCCCTCGCCCGGGACCGCCGCCGCGCCGGAGCGCCCCGGGGCCGCCGCACCGGGGCCGCCCTCCGCGAGGAGCGGCGGTGGCGGCGGCGGCACGGGGCCCCTCCAAGACTCGGGGCTGGGTGCGAAGCTGCCCGAGGCCCAGCCGGGCGGCGGGCTGCGCCGCGGCGGCGTGCTCGCCAGGGCGGCGCCGGTTCCGCCGCCGTCGTCGCCCGCCGTCGTCGGGAGCAGCGCGGCCGACTCATCTGGGGAGCGCGGGAGCAGCCTGACACAGGAGCAGAACCACACATCCGCGCAAGCCTTCGGAGGTCCGCGCGGATCTCTGGGATCGGCGCTGGACCCCCACGGCGGCGCCTCCGACGCTGGCCCTGGCGACCTCCGCACGCCAGGGAGGGTGTCCAGCGCAGACGAAGGAATACAAGCGGACCTCTGAAAGGCTACAAGTTCATGCTGGCGTGTCTTACTGCGAAGGGCCTTCAGAAAAAACCCTGCCGATAGTGGAAACGAATTATCTTTTTCGACGCCCTTATTGACGGAATGGGTCACACAAATAAGAAGCAACAACTGTATCCACGGCACCCGCCGCACAACAGCGACAACGACGACGAGATGAGGGAGGAGGTTGCGAGCAAAGTCTTCGGCGCAGAATGTGTCGATCTATAGCGCAATCCTCTTACAAATGATACTCTCCGCCGCGAATAGCATCAGTACTAGTAGTGGTAGTAAAAATGGTAGTCGCCGTTATAGTAGTAGTCGTCGTAGTCGTAGTGATGGTGGTGATGGTGGTGGTGGTGGTGGTGGTAGTAGTAGCAGTAGTAGTAGTAGTAGTAGTAGTAGTAGTAGTAGTAGTGGTAGTAGTAGCAGTAGTAGTAGCAATAGCAGTAGCAGTAGGAGTAGTAGTAGTGGTAGTAGTAGTAGTAGTCTTAGTAGTAGTAGTAATAATAACAATAGTAGTAGTAGTTGTAGTAGTAGTAGTAATCGTACTTAGTAGTAGTAGTAGTAGTAGTAGTAGTAGTAGTAGTAGTAGTAGAAGTAGTAGTAGTAGTAGTAGTAGTGGTAGCAGTAGTAGTAGTGGTAGTAGTGGTAGTAGTAGCCGTCGTCGTACAGATAGCATTAGTAGCTATTACGACTACTACTACTACTACTACTACTACTACTGCTACTACTACTACTACTACTACTACTATACTACTACTACTACTACTACTACTACTACTACTACTACTACTACTTACTACTACTAACTACTACTACTACTACTACTACTACTGCGACACTACTGCGACTTTACTACTACTACTACTACTACTACTACTACTACTACTGCGACTACTATACTACTACTACTACTACTACTACTAACTACTACTACTATACTACGACTAATACTATTACTGACTACTACTACTACTACTACTACTAACTACTACTACTACCTACTACTACTACTACTACTACTACTACTACTACTACTACTACTACTACTACTACTACTACTACTACTACTACTACTACTACTACTACTACTACTACTACTACTACTACTACTACTACTACTACTACTACTACTACTACTACTACTACTACTACTACTACTACTACTACTACTACTACTACTACTACTACTACTATACTACTACTACTACTACTACTACTACTACTACTACTACTACTACTACTACTACTACTACTACTACTACTACTACTACTACTACTACTACTACCTACTACTACTTACTACTTACTACTACTACTACTACTACTACTTCGAAACTACATCGATTACTGCTACTAATACTACCACTACCACTATCACTACTTACTGCTACTACTACTACTACGACTACTACGTAGTAGTAGTAGTAGTAGTAGTAGTAGTAGTAGTAGTAGTAGTAGTAGTAGTAGTAGTAGTAGTAGTAGTAGTAGTAGTAGTAGTAGTAGTAGTAGTAGTAGTAGTAGTAGTAGTAGTAGTAGTAGTAGTAGTAGTAGTGTAGTAGTAGTAGTAGTAGTAGAGGAAGAAATAGAAGTAGAAGCAGCAACAGATAGTAGGAGTAGTAGCAGTAGTAGTGGGAGTAGTAGGAGAAGTGATAGTGATGGTAATAGTAAAGGACAAAGTAAGAGTACCAGTAGTAGTAGTCGTAGTAGTAGTAGTAGTAATAATAGTAGTAGTAGTAGTACTGATAGTAGTAGTAGCCGTGGTAATACAGTGGGAGTAGTAGTAGTAGTAGTAGTAGTAGTAGTAGTAGTAGTAGTAGTGGTAGTAGTAGTAGTAATACGAAAGCGACTTCTAGTCGCAGCTATACTCGTAGTATTCGAAGAAGCCGCAGTAGTAGTAATAGTAGCAGCAGTGGAAGTAATAGTTGTAGTGGTCGTAATAATGAAAGTAGCAATAGAAGAATTAGTCGACATAGTAGTAGTAGTAGTAGTAGTAGTAGTAGTAGTAGTTAGTAGTAGTAGTAGTAGTAGTAGTAGTAGTAGTAGCAGTAGTAGTAGTAGTAGTAGTAGTAGTAGTCGTCGTAGTAGTAGTAATAGTAGTAGTAGTAATAGTAGTAGTAGTCGTCGCAGCAGCAGCAGCAGCAGCAGGAGTAGTAGTAGTAGTGGTAGTAGTAGTAGTGGTAGTGGTAGTGGTAGTGGCCACAATAGTAATAGTACGAGTAGTAGTAGCAGTAGCAGTACCAGTAGAAATTGTAATACACCTCGTAGTCGCAGTCGCAGTGTATTCTGTAGTCGTAGCAAGCCAAGGAAAGAAACATCAAAGTACTAGTAGTCGTAGTAGTAGTCGTAGCGGAGGGAGTAGCAGTAGGAGCACTAGTTGTAGCATACGCAGCAGTAAAACTGATAGTAGTAGTATTACTCATCATGCTAGTGGTAAAAAAGGGCGTAGTAGCAGTCACAGTCGCAGCCAGTAGAAATAGTAGTAGTAGTAGAAATAAAAGTGTGAAAATAATTGTAACATAATCGTCCGTGAAAGTAGTAGGAGTGGTAGTAGTACTAGTAGCAGTAGTAGTAGTAGTAGTAGTAGTAGTAGTAGTAGTAGGAGTAGTAGTAGTAGTAGTAGTAGTAGTGGTAGTAGTAGTAGTAGTAGTAGTGGTAGTAGGAGTGGTGGTAGTACTGGTACTTGTACTAGTGCGAATACCAACACTAAGAACGAACACTGATATCAACAGCAACAATGATGAATTAGTAGCAAAAGCATGTGTAGTAGTACTAGTGGTAGTAGTAGTAGTAGCAGTAGTAGTAGTAGTAGTAGTAGTAGTCGGCGTAGAAATAGTCGTGGTAGTTGTGATGGAAATAATTGTAATTGTGGTTCTCGTCACTGTAATACTAGTAGTCGTAGAAGTCGTAGAAGTCGTTGTAGTGAAAGTAGTAGTAGTAGTAGTAGTCGTAGTAGTAGTAGTAGTAGTAGTAATGGTAGAAATTGCAGTGGCAATAGTAACAGTAGTAGCAGTAATACTCGTAGTGGTAGTAGTGGTAGTAGTGGTAGTAATATCAGTGGTAGTAGTAATAGTAGTAGTACTAGTAGTAGTAGTAGTAGTAGTAGTAGTAGTAGTAGTAGTAGTAGTAGTAGTAGTAGTAGTGATAGTAGTAGCAGTAGTAGTAGTAGTAAGAGTATTAGTAGTAGTAGTAATAGTAGTAGTAGTAGTGGTAGTAGTAGTAGTAGTAGTAGTAGAAGTAGTAGTAGTAGTAGTAGTCGTACAGGTAGTAATAGTAGCAGTAGTAGTAGTAGTAGTAGTAGTAGTAGTGGCAGTAGTGGCGGTAGGAGTAGTAGTAGAAGTAGTATTCGTAGCATTCGTAAGGAGAGTGAGAGTACTACTACTTCTTGTAGTAGTAGTCGTCGTAGTGGTATCAGTCGAGAAATAGTAGTAATAGTCGTAGTAGTAGTAGCAGTAGTAGTCGTAGTAGTAGTAGTAGTAGTAGTAGTAGCAGTAGTAGTAGTAGATATAGTAGTAGTAGTAGTAGTAGTAGTAGTAGTAGTAGTAGTAGTAGTAGTAGTAGTAGTAGTAGTAGCAGTCCTAGTAGTAGTAGTAGTAGTAGTAGTAGTAGTAGTAGTAGTAGTAGTAGTAGTAGTAGTAGTAGTAACAGTGGTAGTAGTAGTAGTAGTAGTAGTAGTAGTAGTAGTACTAGTACTAGTACTAGTAGTAGAGTAGTAGTAGTAGTGTAGTAGTAGTAGTTGTAGTAGTAGTAGTAGTAGTAGTAGTAGTAGTAATAGTGATAGTAGTACTAGTAGTAGTAGTAGTAGTAGTAGTAGTAGTAGTAGTAGTAGTAGTAGCAGTATCAGTAGTAGTAGTAGTAGTAGTAGCTGTTGTAGGAGTAGTAGAAGTAGTAGAAATAGTAGTAGTAGTAGTAGTAGTAGTCGTCGTCGTCGTAGTAGTAGTAGTGATAGTAGTACTGATACTAGTAGTAGTAGTCGAAGTAGTAGTCGCCGCAATAGTAGTAGCAACCGTAGTAGTAGTAGTAATAATAATAATAGTAGTAGTCCTCGTAGTAGTAGTAGTAGTAGAAGTAGTAGTAGTAGTAGTAGTAGTAGTGGTAGTAGTTATTGTTGTAGTGGTAGTAGTAGTAGTAGTAGTAGTAGTAATTAGTAATAGTAGTAGTAGTAGTAGTTGTTGTTGTAGTAGTAGTAGTAGTAGTAGTAGTAGTAGTAGTAGTAGTAGTCGTAGTAGTAGTAGTAGTAGCAGCAGTAGTAGTAGTAGTAGTAGTAGTAGTAGTAGCACTTGGCCTAGCACTACTACTAGTACTAGAAGGCGAATGGTAATTCGATTACTAATAGTATGTGTGGCAGTATGAGGAGGAAGAGGAGAAGCAGGAGGAGAAGCAGAGGGCGAGCTTATGCCCCGCCGAAAGGAACAGAGGGGGGACCCAAAACTAAAGCCCCGTTGCGGCTTCCAATTGCCTGAGGTCGGGCGGCGTGGTCAGGTGGGCGTACCGCGACGGCGTCTGCGCCGGCGTGCGCCCGGGCGGGCTCTTGCATGAGCCGTGCCCGCGCCGCCGCGCCGCGCAGTCCCTGTCGGGGGTGTAGGCCGGCAGCGGAGGCACGTCCGCCGCCCCTGGGTCCGGAGAGGCGACGTGGGGCGCGCGCGTCCTGCTCGGGGGCGTGGACGCGGCAGCCAGCCGGAGTGGGCTCTGGCAGCCGGATCCTGGCGTCGACGAGGGCCCGCGGGCCTCCCTGCGCGAGGACGCACCCGCGGCCTGCACCAGGGCCTCCAGCGCCGGCGGCAGGGCGGGGGTGCCCGCCGCGCCCGGCCCTCCCTCCTCCGCCTCGGCGAGGGCAGCCGCGGCGGCCGCCGACGCGGCCGAGCGCGCCTGCTCCTTGGAGCAGCTCAGAGCCTGGGCCAGGAACTGCGCCAGCGCCCTGGGGCCCAGGACGCCCCCGCGCGCCAGCGCCGCGAGGAACGCCACGGCCGCCTCCGCGGCGCGGCCGTTGCTCTGCCTGAGCCGGGCGCGCACCACCTTCGCCAGACGGGCAGCAAGGAGGTCCCCGGGGGCGCCGAGCTGCACCGCCAGCCGCGCCGCGGCGTGCAGGGCGGCGGAGGTGACGGCGGGGTGCTCGTCCTCGCACTGCAGCGCCAGCGCGGGCCACAGCGCCGCGCCGCCCAGCTGGTCGGCCTCGAGCGCGCCCAGGCCCTCTAGGCACCGCAGGCGCTCCTTCCAGGTCTTCCGCGGTGCCTCGGCGAGCACCTGCAGGATGCAGGCGGGCTGGTGGACCTGCGGGCTTTCTCCCGCCGCGGTCCGCGCGGGCGAGACGCCAGTGGCGGCGGCCGCCGCGGCCTCGTCGCCGTCGCCGGCTGCCTCCGCCCAGGGCAGGCCCCGCCGCAGGGAGGGCATCGCGGTCACGAGCGCCTGCAGCGAGCTGCTCGCGGCGACCCCGCCCGAGTTCAGGATGCAGGCGTCGAACTCCTGCAGCATGTCGACCACCTCGGCCTGGGCGACGACGCCTCTTGTCGCGGCGCGCGAGGAGAGCCCAGGCGTCCGGAGGACTGAGTTCGCCAGTCCGCGTGGTGTTCCTCCACTTCGGCCTCCCTGGGCCCCTCTCGGCCCCCGGGGCCCTCAGAAACCGGTTCGGGACGGACAAAAAAAACGTCCCGGGGGAAGTGGTCGGGGGGCCCGTGGCCGCGGACCGGAAAGAGATCCCGCCGTGCAACGTCTGGGGGGTGGGTGGGGGAAGGGGGAGGGGGGGGGCGAGCGGGGGGGGGGGGGAGGGGGCGGCCCCTCGAGAAGGCATCGGGGGGGTAGGGGGGGCTTCCCAGAAGCCCTCCCTGCCCTCCCACGGCAGGCCCGAGTCGGGGGCCCCCCCACCGCGCCGCATCGCCGATGCCTCGGCGACGAGTGCCCCGCCTGCCCCCCGAGGCGGCTGCCCTCCGTGCGCCCCCTCCCTCCGGCGCGGCGCGCGGCCTCGCTCGGCGCACGCGTTCAGCAGCTGCAGGGCCCCGGCGACGCGGATGTCCTTGGAAGGGGGGAGGAGGAGGAGGAGGAGGAGGAGGAGGAGGAGGAGGAGGAGGAGGAGGAGGAGGAGGAGGAGGAGGAGGAGGAGGAGGAGAGAGGAGGAGGAGGAGGAGGAGGAGGAGGAGAGGGGACGGGGGGGGGAGGGAGGGAGGGAGGGAGGGAGGAGGACTCCAGGAGGAGGAGGAGGAGGAAGAGGAGGGGGGAAAGGTACCGATGCCGCTGTTACCCAGACCTCGTCAAAGGGGCGCACGCTGACCAAGATATCTCCAGGAGAATGAATCCGGCAGGTGGCGACAAGGACTCTCCAGGACGAGCGGCGGCATCAGTACCCAGGCATCCTCCGATGCGGACCCAGGGCTCCCGACCCCCTCCCAGGGGGGGTCCTGCGCCCCCGATCTAGAAGCCGACCTCGAGAAACACCGCCCGACCTGCCAAAAAACAATTGGCCTGGCGAAGGACCCAACCAGATGCAGTTGTGAACGCACGGTTGTGAGCATCGTCTCCGGCGGAGCTCCCCATGGAGCCACGAGACGCGTGACAGGTGTGCCGAAACGGGTGCGGTGGACGAACGCAGCCACTGGGACCTTCGGCGGAGCCCCCATACGGGACCAGGAAACGTGTGCGGGAGGTGCCGAAATGGGTGCGGCGGGCGCATGCGAGCGGAGCCGCTGGGGCCTTCGGTGGAGCTCCCCATTGGGGCCAGGAAACGTATGAAGGGTGTGCCGCGACACGGGCGCGGCGGGCGCACGCGAAGGCGTGGAGCTCCCTACTATAGGGCCACGCAACGCGTGTGAGGGGTGTGCCAACAGACTTGGCTGGCGCGGAGGGCCGAGGCGGGGACGGGAGGAGGGAGGGTAGGGGAGGAGGAGGAGGGAGGGAGACGCGGGGCGCTGGTTCTTCAAAACGAACATTCAAGACCCCAGGAGGGCTGGGAGCAAAAAAAAATAACCTGGCGAAGGACCCAACCATATGCAGGTGTGAGTACCGCAGGTCAGCTGGGACGAAGAAAGGGGAGCTCCTCACAGGGCCTTCGGTGGAGCTCCCTGTGGGGCCACGAACCGTGTGAGGGGTGTGCCAAAATGGGCGGCGGTCCCCGCATGCGGCCTGTGCCACTGGGGCCTTTGGTGGAGCTCCCTGTGGGGCCACGAACCGTGTGAGGAGTGTGCCAAAATGGGTGGCGGTCCCCGCATGCGGACGTGCCAAAACAACTCAGGTTCCCCCCGACACCATTCCCGGCACATCACCAGTGCCTCGCGGAGGAGGAAGGGGAGGAGGAGCGAGGAGGAGGAGGTGACGCGGGGCGCTGTCTCTTCAAAACGAGGACCCAACACCACAGGATGGCCGGGGAAAAATACATGCTGGGAGCGACTTGTGGGTATAGGTTCTTCTTCTTCTTTCGTCCGACGTCCTCCCCAGCCAGCGCCTGCTGACGGAACAGCCGCCAGAAGCGCCGCGCGCCCAGGCACCCCGCCGCGGCCCGCACCAGCTCCGCGGCCGCCGCGCGCTCGGGCGGCCCCGCGGCCGCCCGCGGCAGGGGCCCCGTCGGGTCCTCCCGCAGCCGCTCGCCGAGGGCGGGCAGCCACTGCACGGGCTGCACCACCTGCAGGCATCGGGAGGGCGGCAGCACGCGGTCGGACCTGCTGCTGCTGCTGCCGCTGCCGCCGCTGCTGCTGCCGCCGCTGCCGCTGCCGCTGCCGCTGCTGCTGCTGCTGCTGCCGCTGCTGCCGCTGCTGCCGCCGCCGCCGCCGCCGCCGCCGCCGCCGCCGCCGCCGCCGCTGCTGCTGCTGCTGCTGCTGCTGCCGCCTCTCACGAAACGCTGCTACTCCGAGTAACCCCAGAGGATGCAGAGGGAGGTGCAGAAGAAGGCGCATGCTTCGGACCCGGGACAGAAGAGCGTGCTGTTCACCTGGGGAGACGTAAGACTCGGGTTCGGCGGACTCAGGTTGGCTCGACGGGAGCCATCATGAAAACGACGAGACCACGAGACCCCATCTGAAATTTGACGCGAGCTCCCGCTGCAGACTTCCTTCGGACCGAGGACCGAAGAACATCCTTCAATCGGGGAGACGTAAGACTCGGGCTCGGGGGACTCGGGTTGGCGGGACCGTCGTGAAAATGGCGAGACCCTTCTGAAACTCGACGCGAGCACACGCTGCAAGCATCCCACGAAAACTGGACAGGCAAAGTCCAGGACGCGCTGTTCAAAAAGCGGCGGCAAACTTGAGTTCGGGCGTACTCCAACTCGGGTCTTACGCTTCCCCGATTCAGGATCAGGAGACCCTCCGCCGCCCCAAACTGAAGATTCTCTGAGGGTGCCCTCCCCCAGAAGGCACAAGAGCATCCATGGACAAGCACGAACAACATCGGGGCGCCCTCCCCGAACAGGCCTCGATCTTTAAACCCCGGCACGACCCTGCGCCTACCCCGACCCTGGCCGGGCTCACCCTGACATCCGTGCACACGCCCTCCCTGCCACACGCACCGATCCCGGAACTGGGATCGGCCCGGCCAGGATCGATGCAGGCACATAGCGGGTGCTCTCCGACACCTTCGGCTGCGCCCCCTCGCCGCCGCCCCTTGCCGAGACCGCGGCGTAGTGCGCCGCCACGCTGCGGCAGGCGGCGCAGAAGGCGCCCGGGTCCTTGTCCATCAGGATCTCCGCGAACCACGGCTCGCACCGGGCCAGGGCCTCCTCATGGGGAAACCGGCAGGCACCGAGACGGCTACTCCCCAGACCTCTCCTGGGGCGCGCCTGGGCCAGACTTCCGAGGAGAATCCAGCGGTGGCGACGAGGGCCTCCCAGGAGGCCCACAGAGAGGAAGGCGAGGCAAGGGGTAAGGGTAAGTATGGCAGCAGGAGCGCCTTTTCCTCATCCGATCCTCGTCGAAGCCCCGACCCGAGGCGAACCACTCCCGCAGCCGGTCGTACTCGGCGGAGCGCACCGCGGCGTCCGTAACGACGAAGGCCGCCTCGTTCAGCTCCGGCAGCGGCGCCGCGGGCGGGCCGCCCAAGGCGGGGCTGCCGGAGAGGGCGCGGGACTCGGTGGCGTCCTCCGCGTGTCATCATGCTCCTCCTCCTCCTGCTCCTCCTGCTCCTCCTGCTCCTGCTCCTGCTCCTGCTCCTGCTCCTGCTCCTGCTCCTGCTCCTGCTCCTGCTCCAGCTCCTCCTCCCTCCTCCTCCTCCTCCTCCTCCTCCTCCTCCCTCCTCCTCCTCCTCCTCCTCCTCCTCCTCCTCCTCCTCCTCCTCCTCCTCCTCCTCCTCCTCCTCCTCCTCCTCCTCCTCCTCAAGGGTTAGGGGTCCTTTTTTCGTTGCCACTGGGACCATCGGCAATTGATCCGGGGCGAGAAGAACTGCCGCTAAGGCAGTGGTCGGAACGCTGTTGCCCGAGGACTCAAAACAAAGCACATCCTGGACCTGGCCGGGGCCGTGCGGGGCACGCGCATTTGTGCTCGGCCTCGGGGGGCGCGACGCCCGCATCGGAGCGCGGAGGCGACACCGACAGCGACCAACAGCCACCTTGCAGGACTCGCCTCGAGTCCACCTCACACTCCCGGGACATCCCGGAGCCTCGGCCGGAGGATTGCCCTGGTGCAGCCGTGACGGCCGAAGCTGCGTGCGCAGGCCACCGGGCACCTCCGCACACGCCCTGCGCGCAGCGGGCGTCCTCGCGGAGGGCGCCGCTGCCGCGGACCGCGGCCGCGCCCGCCACGGCCTCCGCGGGCCCGGGTGCTGGCAGGACGGCGGCCTCCTCGGGGAGAACGCCAGGGCTGACCGCCTCATCGACACCCTGGGCCGGGCCCCTCCTGCAGGGGCTCCGAGAGCCGGCTCCAGCAGGCCGCCGGGGAGGCGCCCTCTGCAGGCACCGCTCGCCCCAGCAGGAGGGGCCCGCCCTGGGCCCAGCCTCGGCGAGGTCGGGTCCTCCTGGCCTGGCCCGGGAGGCGTGTCGCCCATCGACCCCTGGAGGCCCAGGCTGGGCCCGGCCAGGCTGTCGGCGGGAGGAGGAGGAGGAGGAGGAGGAGGAGGAGGAGGAGGAGGAGGAGGAGGAGGAGGAGGAGGAGGAGGAGGAGGAGGAGGAGGAGGAGGAGGGGGAGGAGGAGGAGGGAGGAGGAGGAGGAGGAGGAGGAGGAGGAGGAGGAGGAGGAGGAGGAGGTGGTCAGGGCCGGTGTCTCCCTGGGCCTCCTCGGCCTCGGCGCCGGCGCTGCGGGGGCCGCCGCCGCGCGGCGGCCGCGCCCCCGGCGTGCCCCCGCCCTGGCACGGCGGTGCCTCGCTCTCGGGCTCCGCCTCGTGCAGGTGCTGGCAGGACCGCGCGGCGCCCTGCCCACAGGGGCCCCCCGACCCAGACGTGCTCGCGTGGTGGAGGAGAATGCGAGGCGGGGGCTGGTCCATGGATCCACCACTTGGGAACCGACGTCCTGGTGCCCCAGCGGGCGGTGGATGTGGACAAATGTGTCGGCCCCCGGGGGCCCGGAACTATCCACATCCACCGCAGGCCTGTCGAGGTCCCCGAACATCGATCCTGAAGGGCGGTGGTCACGCATAAATTCCCCTCTCGGAGGGCACGAACAAAAAGCGGCAGGTTCTGGTGCGTCGCCGTCCTCGCTGCCTCTGGGGGCCCTCGCCGGGCCCCAGGACTGTCAAAGAACGACTCGGAATGAGATGCCTGGCCCTGCACAAAAAAGGGCCGGGACGTCCAGGGACCCCGCGCTGGAAAAGCGTCTGGGAAGACTGCCCAGACATGTAATGTCCTGATTTTTTCAGGACGGCGTCCCTGGAAGTCCCGACCGCTTCCCTGGGACCGATTTTTCGTCCTGAGTCGTTTTTTGACGGCCCCGAGGCCCGGCGAGGGCCCCCCGGGGCCGAAAACAGCCAAAAACTTGCCGCCGTGATTTTTTCACGACGCGATCATGTCTGGGTGGCGTGTCGATCTGGAGGTGCCGGCCTCTCCCAGCTCCCGGGCGAGGCGCCTCCCCCGTCCCGCGGGCAGCCTCTTTTCGGCACACCTGGCGCCCGGAGGCCCGGCCGAGCGCGCCACCCGAGGCCCAGGCACCAGGAGAGGCCAATCCCTCGGAGCCGAGGCCTTGCCCGGGCTCGGCCTCCCGCTCGCCCCACACGGCCGCGCCCCGCCCTGCCAGGCTTCGCGCCACGGCCGCCGCCGCCGCCTCGACCCCGGCGCCGACCTCGCAGCGGTCGACCTTGTCGGCGACGAGAGGGGCGAATAGCCCAGGGGCGGGCATTACACGTATTCGCCCGGGAGCCTTCTCGAAGACATAGATCATCGGCGCCCCTGAATACATGTATTGCTCTCCCCTGGGCTGTTCGCCCCTATCGTTGCCTCTGACCTTGGGTGCGGAGTAGTCGCCCAGGGGCTTGGCCGGCGGCGGCAGCGGCGTCTCCTCCAGCGGGTCGCGGTAGTCGTCGTCGAAGTCGAAGTCCATCGCCCTCTGCAGCGTGGGGGGCCAGGCGCCGAGCGCAGCCGCAGGCGCTATAAAGCGCTCGAGCCGGAACGAACGCAGAGGAGCGCCCACGCATCTGCGCACAGCGCTCCAGCGCACGCGCGCCGTTCCGTTCGAGCGATTCCGACGTCGAGACCACGCTGCGGCCCAGCGCTCCCCGGCAATCCATGGGGCGCAACCAGGCTCCCGGTGTCAGCCTCGGCTGGCTCGACACAGCTCATCCCATTCCCGCAACACGCACGGTATGCTGAGGCACTGCATCATCCAACACACTCGTACCGACGAGTTCGACTCGTTTTCAGGCTGCATGGTTCAATAACCCTTTCCAATTTGTTTACAGCATTGAAGAATATCTGCTTGCGTCTGGGAGCAATGTCTAAGTTCCGCGGCCCATCGAAGAAAACCGCTCGGGACTAAACTGGTCCAAGGGCAGAGGTCCGCTGGCTGGCGAAGAGGAACTAGTCGTCGGATGTCTACTGCCTCCTACTCACAGAAACGAAATTGGTGAACGCATTGTTTATCAACTGTCGTTTCCTGTGTCTTGTATACTTGAAGTGCGCATCGTGCTTCCCGCTGCGATGGTTAAAGCCACGCCAGACTCCAAAGCTATGAGTATGCATGAGGAGCCAGGTGGCTAGATGATCAGAAGGCGAGAGTGAAAGAGATATGGACCGAGGCATTGCGAAAAAAGAAAGCGAGGCAGACAGACATACCGACCGACAGACATAGACACAGACACAGACACAGACACAGCCACAGGCACAGACACAGACACCGACACAGACACAGAAACAGAGACAGACAGGACACAGACAGAGAGCCAGAGAGACAGACACAGAAAGAGAGTCAGAGAGACAGAGAGACAAACAACCAGACACAGACAGGCAGGCAAGCAGGCAGGCAGGCAGAAAGACAGACAGGCAGACAGTCAGACAGACAGACAGAGCGAGAGAAAGAGAGAGCCAGCGCAGGAAGCGCTCACCAGCAACGAAATATCGAGGAGCGGAGCGGCACCTGGCAAGAGGAGGCCACGTGGCAGCAGCAGGAGGCCCTGATGCCTCCCTCGGGTGCCGGTGCGCCCCCGGGCCCAACTCCCGAATTCACCTCTGCCCCCGGACCCGGCGACCCCTTCCCCCATTGGCTGGCCTCTCCTCCCATTGGCAGCTTCTTTGACGAGGCTCGGGGCCGAGGAGGCGGCAGCCGGACGCCGAGCGGCGCCGAGCGGCGAGCCCACGCGCGCGATCTCTGCTCGAGCCGCCCGGCTGCCCCTGCAGGGCCTGCGAGCCCCGAGGCGCGGCGGGCGCGCCGCCGCTGCCTCGCCTATGCGGGCCCGCCGCGCCCGCCGGCTCGTGCCGCGAGGCAGCCGACGGAGAGGCCCCCCCCCCCCCCCCCCCCCACGGGAGGCAGACGCCTCGGGCGCGGCCGCGGGACGCTGGCAAACGACTGGCGCGGCGGCGGGGGCCTCCGGGCCCGAGCCTCGCCCGGCCCGCTCCGAACGGGCTCGGCACGGGCTCCGAGCGCGCGTCACCAGAGCGCCGCCGGCAAGTCCCGCGCGCACGCGCGGAGGCGCCGGCGCGGCGGTGCCCCCCGAGGAGGTGGCGCGGCACGGCGCCGCGACCGCGCCGGGGCAGCAGCCCGTTCTGGCCATGGCGGCCCGCGCGCCGGCAGGGGCGCGGCAGGGCGCAGCGGGTCCGGGATATGCAGGGCGCAGCGGGGCTACTGGGGCGAGGCCTGTGCCGCCGAGGCCCTGCGCAACACGTGCGCCTGGGCCCCAGAGAGGTGAAGCAGGTGCGGCTGCCGTGCAGCCCTGTCGCCCGTGCTGCCGCAGTCGGCTGCGCCAAAAGGGTTGAGCGGCCCGTCGCCGAGACACGCGCTGGGCGTCGGCCGGAGAGCTCCCTGCCGGCGATGGCCCTACAGCCCGCCAGCTCTGACAGAGAAGGTCATGCACGCTCTGCCTCCTGCAAGACGGATCATGCTGGGTACTGGTCGCACTGGCGTCGGGAGGCTTACCCAGATCCTCCTCCCCCACGTCCTGGCAGGCGCCCGAGCCACGAGGACTCGCAGGTCAAGTCCGGCGTGAGGCTCAGCTCGTCCAATGTCGTCGTTCTGCGAGCAGCAACCATGTCGTCCATCCGACGCGCAGGCGTTCCGAAGTGCAGTTCCCGCCACTTCCGTGGGCGCGCCGGTGCCAGATGCTTCTTGTCCACCCTCAGGCCGATCGACGCCGATCGAGGACACCAGGCACCGCGAGACCTTGTGCATCTATCTCTCGACCGCTCGCAGGCTGCCGCGCCCGATCTCGCGGAGGCAGCGGGCAAGGGGTCTCCGCCCGGTCCGCTCGCCGCGACACGCCCACAGGGGCCTCGCCAGGGCTGCCAGGGGCCGCTCTGGGCGCGCCGCCGCCGCAGGAGGGCCCACGGCCGTGCGCACGCCCGGGCGCGTGGCGTGCCGCCCGCAGGCCGCGCTCACAGGTGATACACCGGGGCCTGGCCGGGCCGGCACGGGAGCTCGGGCGCTTCCCGCGGCGGCGGGGGCCCGCCCCCCAGCGCAGAGGGCCGGCCCGGCCGCCGCGGCGGCCCCGCCGGCGGCCCACCGCAGCGAGGGGAGGCGGGCGGCGAGGGCGGCGAGGGCGCCAGCGGCGCCGGGGGCGCTGCGCCGTGGGCCCCGACGGGGCGCGCGCCGCTGCCGCTGGAGCGGCCGCGGCCGGGCGGCCGCCCAGGCGGCCCGCCAGAGCCGTGCAGCTCGTCGAGGGGCGCAGGCCTCGCGCGCCGCCGGCTCGGTGCCGAGCCGGCGGGCGGCTCCGAGCGGGTGGTGCCCACTGGCGCCGTGTCTTCGTGGCTCGTGAGGCTGGGCCCCATGGACATCAGCCTGTCGGACAGGTCCTCCAGGGTCTCCAGCCCGCCGTCTCCAGGCGCGCGCCACGCGGTGTGGCTGCTGGGGGACAGCGCGGCCGCGCAGAGCGCACCAGGGGACGCTCCGTCGGCGCGCTGCGAGCGCGTCCCGAAGAGGTGCACCTGCCGCCAGGCCTGGCAGTTCTTGACCAGCATCTTCAGCGGCGCCGCAGCCGCTTCCTGGCGCTCGCGCCCCGCCAGCGAATTCAGCAGCTGGTACAGCGGCAGGACCAGGACGTCCGTGAGGCCCCGCATCCAGGCGGTCACGTCGAGGTCGGAAGGGGCCTCCGACTGGCAGAGCACCGTCCAGTGCCGGTGGAGACTCTGTGGCAGCGCGAGGAAAGAGAAGTCCGCCGCCACAAGCACGAGGCTCATCATGACAACTCGCTCGGAGAACATCGACTCGAGGCATCGGTCGGCCCTGTCCTCGAGCAGGCCGCGCACGCGGCGGATGTCTTCCAGCGCGCAGTGGGGCTGCGCGCGCACGAGCAGCAGCCTCACCAGACCCCGCAGCACCCGCGGCTGAGCGCAGACCGCCGCCGCGGCGAGGCCGGAGGTGTCCAGGGCCCTCAGGGCGGGCCCGATGGCCGCGGCGTGCACCACCAGCGGCTCACCGCCGACCAGGGCCCCGTCGTCCGGCCCGCCGGCGCCCATGCCCGCGCCGCAGTGCAGGGCCGCGGCTGCGGCCAGCAGCGCCTGGGGGGGAGGAGGTGCCGAGACCGCCGAGCACTCCTCCGGACCCCTCCCTGGCGGCGCTCTGACCAGCCCTCCGAAGGGAACCCAGCCGTGGCGGCGAGGGCCCCCCGAGGAGGACCCCCCTCGGAGGCCCCGAGGCGCCGAGACCGAGGAAGGGCATCGGCATATTGGCAGGTCTGGCATCGGCGCTGGACTTCCCGCCCTGGCGCGCCGCAAGCGCCGCCAGGGGCGGCGAGGGAGGGCCGTCCCGCACGGACCCAAGAGATGCGCGAGGACCTCCGAAAAGTTGACGCCGATGGCTGGAGCCCCTTTTTTATCATTCGGAAGCTGTCGTCGTGCTACCATGAGGAATGCTGACTGAGGACCGGAGGGGCCTCCCTTACCACGGCGAGCCTTCGCCACGAACAGGTTCCCCCGACCTGGCTCTGAGGAGCGGACCGTCCACCACAGCCCCTCCGAAGCCCAAAGTGGTCCTTGTGTCAGCGTCTGATTCGCACGCCTTTGTGATTTCTCTTCTTCATCTTGCTACTAGTGGTATGATTATACTTTCCCTTCTTCGTAAGACTACTTCTCGAAGCTTAGGTTTCGTCTTCTTGTCCTGAGCTATACAATTATGCGAGCCATTGTTACTCACTGTCTTACTACGATTGTTCGTATGATGCCTTATCCTTAAACTGCACCGCGGCATCTACGTATGATCATTCGCACTCGTAAGAAGTGTTATTTCTGTGTGCTTCCCCATTACATGATCATCACTCTTCTTATCATGATGTCTATGCTTCTGCGAGCCTGTACGTTCGACCCTCCCCTGGGCGCCAGCTGCTCCCAGGCCTCCAGGAGCCCCCAGAGGCCCAGGCGCTGCGAGAGCCACTGCGCCGAGCGGAGCGCCAGCGCCGCCCGCGCCTCCGCGCCGCGCGGCGAGGGCGCGTAGGCCCGCAGCAGCGCCCGCACGAAGCGCCGCGCGCACTCCTCGGCGACCGGGGCGCCGCCAGGGCCGCCGGACACCTGGGGCGCTCCCAGAGAGCCAACGGACTGGAAAAGTCAGGGCGGAGGTTTTTCCTCGTGTTCGGCGCCTGGAGGCCCTCGCTGGGCGCCGGGGCAACAAGTGGCACGTGTGCCATGGCTCTTGCACAGAAAGGAAGGGGGAGGAGGAGGAGGTGGAGGAGGAGGGGGGAAGAGGGGGCAAGACATCGCCCCTCGGAACCCAGCAACGGGGCCCAAATCCCAGGTGGGGAGGGGGGGAGGGGAGGTGGTGTGCGTCGCGACGCGGAATAAAGTGCTCGGAGCTGAGGGGGCACGGGGCGGAGGTGCCACTGGGGTGCTGGGGGCGCGGAGAGGAGGGGGGGAGGTGGTGTGCGTCGCGACATGGAATAAAATGGTCGGGGCGGGGGGGGGGCACTGGGCGGGGCTTGGGGCAGAAGAGGGCCACACGGGGCGGGGGTCCAACTGGAGCGCTGGGGACGGGGGGTGAGGGGGGGAGGTGGTGTGCGTCGCGACACGGAATGAAATTGTCGGGGCGGAGGGAGCACGGGGCGGAGCCCCCCTGGGGACGCGGGGGGGCTCCGGGAAGAGAGCCACGGCGCGGGGGTCCCACTCTGGCGCTGGGGACGCGGGGGGCGGGGGTGCGACGCGGAATAAAGTGGTCGGAGCTCTAGACACCCTGTGCAAGAGAATAAATAAAACACTCAGGATAAAGAACCGGCCCTGGGGACCCGTGTAGAAAAAATCACGACGTCGGATCCCTGGGCTCGTTGAGAGCCAGGCGCCAGCAGCTCTGTCACGCTGGGCGCTGTCGCCGGGAGAAGGGCCCTCGCTCGAGCAGGGGGGAACCGGAGGGGGAGTGCAGTCAACCCCAGCCCGCACTAGAAGGACGCACGAGGAGGGTGCAAGGGCCCTGGAAGGCCATGTCGACACCTTGCGAGCGGGGCGCGGCCAGCGAAAGTGGCCGAGGATAGGCCGAAGGGGAAGGGCACAAGGGTGACGTGGGAAAGTCGCTCATCCTTACTGTGCAGGTTGACCGCAGAGCGTCGCGGCGGGCTCCGTCGCCGAAGGCGGCGGAAGCAGCGTCCTCGGCGGAAGCCAGCGGCAGGAAAGCGGCGGCGGGCTCGCAGAAGATTTGGGCTTGGTGATAACAACCAGAACACTGGCGCACCCGGGAAGGCTGCGGCCGTGGATCGAAACGGTCTCCACTCGTCGTTCTCGACAGCTGGATTCGTCCAAGTCTGCGAGGCGAGGATTGATCCATATCCACCGCCTGGCAACCGACGTCATGGTGCTCCAGCGGGCGGCGGATGTAGATACATGCACATCTTGGCCCCCGGGGACCCGAATATGTCCACACTCTCCGCCTGCCGAGGTCCCCGAAAATTGATCTCCAGGCGCTGGTCCGGTATACAAACCCCCGCCTCGGACGAAGCCGGGAGCGCCCGGAGCGTCAGCCTCTTCTGGAAGGGGGGCGACCTGGGCGGCGGACGCGGCCGAGGGCACGAGGAGCGCGTCCGCCGCCAGCCTCAGCGGCCTCGCGGCCGACTCGGCGGAGCCTTGGGGGGGGAAGCGGGAAGGATTTGCCACAAAAGGACCCCCGAACCCTTCGGGAGGGGGCCCAAGCCAGGAGGGCCAAAAACGTCAGGGACAGGGGGCCTTTGCTGCAGACGCATCAGACCAAAACCGCCCACAAAACTGTCGTCCCTGCTGCAGAGGTGGGGACCTGAGTGAGGCCACGCCTGCACCCCGTTTGTAGGGTGAGGGGCTCCTCTGTCCCCGAGGACCGTGGAGGGCGCGGGAGCGCGGCACAGACACAAACCCTCGGAGCCTCCCTGGCCGCGCCGGAGGCGTCGCCCCAGATAAAACAGGGCTAGGATCGGGATAGATCGCTCCAGAGCGTTCCGGAGCGCTCTCAGAACGTTCCGGAGCGCTCTCAGAGCGTTCCGGAACGCTCTGGAGCGGCCGCGGCGCCCAATACATCCTCCAAACCTGCCGATTCTCAGAGATTTCGAGTTATCCCGATCCGATTTTGTCCCGATCTCCGCGTCGTTTTACCAGGGGGGGCGGGGCCAGAGGCCGCACGAGGGGGGGCCAGTGCCGGCCCGCGGGATCTGCGTGGGCCGCCTGCGGTCGGGCCCGGGGCAGAGGAGCGCCTGTCGAGAGCACGAGGCCCTCCGCCAGCCAGGAGGAAGAGCACCCGATTGGGTACCCTCCCCCGGGAGGCACGGGAAGATCCAGCAAGCACGAAGAGCACGAGGCTGAGTACCCTCCCCGAGCCGACCTCGATCTTAGACCTCGGCCGGACTGTACGCAGCGTTTCTGTGTTCCTGCCGATCTCGCGCTGCGCGCGGCGCGAGGCGCGAAGAGCTTCGCGCGCTCGCGCCGCCCCCCAGGGGAGCAGTGGAGGACGAGGAGGAATCGGACACGAAGCGCGAAGCGCCAATAACTTCGCGTCCTCGAGGGCGCCCTTGAAAAGGGTGAGCGTTTTAGTTGCAGTAAGCCGGGACCGCTGGATCTTGCAACAAAAAATCATAAAATAATAAATCCCGCCTGGACTGCAGAATCCGGGTCTCCCAGACGCTAGAGGTCATGATTTTTGCATGACGTCGACCCCCAGAAGCCTCGACCCATTCCTCGGGACCAGTTTTCACTCTGAGTCGTTATGCTGACGGTCCCGCAGCATGGCGATGGCCCCCTGAGGCCGAAATCATGTAAAAACCTCCCGTCGTGATCTTTTCACGACGCGAGGGGGTCTGCGCTTGGGGGCCTGCAGGATCCTGGTCCTTGCCATCGCTCGGACGTCCATTCCCCGTGCGTCCTTCGATGTCGTGCACTCATTCGGCAGATGATCCCAGATGCTCCTCCAGGGTCCCCCGCCGAAACAAATGCACACGTCCGAGCGATGCCCGGGGTCTGCAGAATACTGGTCTTATTGGGGGTCCCAAGCCGTGTGGTGACAGACCGCGCAATGATCTCGGCCCTCCCCAGAGGACCTCACCGCGCGGTCTGGCACCGCACGGTTTCATTTGGGACCCTGGAGGCTCTGGCCGCCCGCGACGTCCTCGGAGACCGACCCGGGTCCCAAGACTGTGCGGTGGCCCCGAATAAAAGACGAAGCCAGGATGAGGATGAGATGGGGTGAGGGAAATACGAGAATCTCTGAGGTCTGGCGGCTCTAGAGGATGCCTCGGGCGCCGCGGCCTTCTTAGAGCGTCCTGGAACGGTCTGAGAGCGTCCCGGAACGCCTCGGAACGGGTTTACCCTCGTCATCGCCCCAGCCGGCCGAATCTTAGGTCGGGCATGTCCCCCTACAGGCGGATTTTGAGCGAAAAATTAAAAACTCAAAACATGCCCCAAACGAATCCAAAAAATACAAAACAAAACAAAAAAAAAAAAAAAAAAAAAAAAAACGTCCCCATACTACTAAACCGAATCCCCACTGATTCGCCACACGGTGTGGTCACCACTCCGTTGCTTCGTGGAACCCCGCTGGTCTGCGAGGCCCTGAGGCTTTCTTCTCTCCGAGGAGCCGGACAGGGTGTCCCAGCCCCACCTCAGGGGCGTCCAAGAGGAGAGGGGCGTCCAGGACGAGGGGGCGCAGATCATGGCCGTCGGCATGTGCGCGGCCCAGGGAGGAGGACCGCGGGGAGGCATTGAAACACAAGAAGATTGGCGCAGTGAGATCTGGGGAGATGTCAGGGCCCTGGCCCTGATATCCACCCCCCCTGGTCGACGATCATCACCCGCCTCTCGGGGTCGCGCAAACGTGGATTAGCCGTCCATGGATCTGGCGCGCGGCCGCCAAATCCCATGGATCGGGGGGGAGGGGGGGCTCCCCAGACTGCGGCCGCTGCCGCCTCGCTCGGCGGCGGAAGTCGGCGCTCTCCCATGGAAACGGGACCCGTCGCTAATCCACGGCCCCGTGGTCCATGTCTGCGATCGCCCGGCCCTCTTGGCCGCCCCCGGCCCCACCTCTCGCCCGCCTCGCTCGCCGGGCAGCAGGCCGGGGAGGGCCGCCCCCGCCCGTCCGCCGCCTCTGGCCGCGGCTGCTCGTGCGGCGGCACCGGGAGGCTGAAGAGCTCCTCGGAGGGGCAGCGACGGGGGGCGGGGCAGAGCGGCTCAGCGCGCGTGGGCAGCATCGAACTGGAGTCGGCGAGGCATCGCTGGCGCGTCGGCGAGAGGCGCCCGATGGATCCCGGCGGCGAGGCCGCACGCTCCTGGGCGGGGTGGGCCAGCAGGCGCCCGTCGGCGAGGAGCGGGCGATTGCGGGCTGACCCGCCTGACACTTTCCTCAGGTCGGGCATGCTCTCCTCCAGGTCAGCAAAAATTGTCCTCCAGGCCAATATAAAATAGTCAAAACAACATTCAAGCATAGACGTCGACGACAACAACGACCACAACCACCACCACAACAACAACAACCACAACCACAACCACAACCACAACCACAACAACAACAACAACAACAACAACAACAACAACAACAACAACAATTACAACAACAACAACAACAACAACAACAACAACAACAACGCCCACCACCACCACCACAACAACAACCGCAACAACAACAACAACAACAACCACAACCATGACAACAACAGCAACAACAACGACAACAACGACGACGACATCAACAACAACAACAACAACAACAACAACAACAACAACAACCACCACCACCACCACCACCACCACCACCACCACCACAACAACAACCGCAAAAACAACAACAACAACAACAACAACAACAACAACAACAACAACCACAACAACCATAACAACAACAGCAACAGCAACAACAACGACAACAACGACGACGACATCAGCCACAACAACAACGACAACAACAACAACGACAACAACAACAACAACAACGACAACAACAACCACAACAACCACAACAACAACAGCAACAACAGCGACGACAACAACAACAATGACGAAACATCGTCCCCCAACTATTTGCTGATCATTCTTGATCATGCCTCCTGTAGAGGGACATGCCCGACCTAACCCATTCCCCCCCTGCCGCTGCCCCCGAGCTCCAGGAGCTGCTCCCTCGCGCGGCCATCCACGCGCCCCAGGAGGAGGACCTCCGGAAGAATCACGAGAGGCATACAAAAACAGACTGCCGGAAGTCCGCGCGGATGTCATCGACTGGCGCTGGACGCCCCTCTGGCGGCGCCCCCAGCGCCGCACCTAATCTGCGCGGACCTCCGACTCTACAACTGCGTCTGCAGCTGTGTCTTCTCATTAGTCTTGGTAGTCGTAGTAGTAATAATAATAATAAGAATGGTAATCATGATTACTTTAACTATTATTATGATAATCATACGAATAATAAGCATAATAATAATACGAATGATAAAACTAATAATAGTAAATATAATAATAGTAGTAGTAATAAAACATAATAAGCATTGTAGCAGTCGTAATACTAATACGAGTAATAATAGCAACACTGCGAATAGTAATAATCCTAATACGACGAATGATACTGATAGTAAAGCTAGTACTGCTGTTTTTACTGTTATGATTATCCGTTGTCCGACGGGCGCCTGCACCTGCCTCGGCTGGCGTGCGCCCGCTGACCGAAAAGTGGTTCAACCCAGCGGGCATATGGAAATGATATCTACCCACGGATGACAAAGCAGCACAACAGCAGTGCGAGAACAGGTCTGGAGCACAGTGTGTTCTCCCAACAACGCGGCAAATACACCGTCTGGCGCACAGCGTGCTCTCCCAACAACGCGCCAAATGCACCGTCTGTTCACTTACTTCCTCGGACCTCGTCGAGGTCCACGACCTGCAGGCGCTCTGCGTGCGCCACGTCCGCGCGGACGTCCTCGAGGACCCTCACGACGCTTTGCAGCGCCCTGCCGAGCGGGCGGCTGAAGACCTCCACGGACTCCCCGAACTCGCACACCAGGCTCTGGGCCCGCCTCAGCCGCGCCGACCTCGTGGCCGCGCCCGCCGTCCAAGACCCGGGCGCCCCCTCGAGGTCGATGGCATCGACCTCCCGCGAGCCGTCCGCCGCCTGCTGCAGCACCTCGTAGGACGCGTACAGCGACAGGAACGCGACGCGCCGCTGGCGCTCGACGGACCAGTGGCCCAGGAGGCCCAGCGCGGTGACCAGGAGCAGCAGCAGCGAGAGCCACGCCCAGTGCGACGCCAGCCCCTCCTCGGCGCACGAGGGCAGGGCGGCCCCGAGGACCAGGGACGTGAGCGAGTACGCGAGCACGCAGGAGGTGCCGATGAGCAGCGTGCAGGCGAAGCGCATGTGCGTCCGCATGCAGAGGAACATGAGCGTGCCCTGCATCACGATGACGAGGTCGTAGTCGACGCTGATCGTCCCGAAGACGTCCGACCCCTCCCGGCCGAACAGGGAGGCCACCCGGAAGCGATTGGCAAAGCAGCAGCTGATCCAGGGGACCGCGCACCCCCAGAGGCACAGGGACAGCTCCACCATAACGGCCCGCGCCTCCAGCTGTCCACTGACGAGCCAGTCCACCTTCGACCTCCGCGGCAGCCAGAAGGTCGGCGGCGAGCCAGGGGGGTGAAGGAGAAGGAGAAGGCCCTCTCAGAAGGCGGCGGGGCTTCTCAGAAGCCCTCGGGCCCTCTGAGAGGTTTCCTTGTGCCCTCGGGGAAGGCGCTCAGAACACTTCCCAGAAGGCCGGGGAGGGGGGGGGCTCCCGAGCCATCCGAGGAGGCCTTCTCCTTCTCACTTCCCCCGTGGGCTCGCCGCCGAGAAGACGCCGCAGCGCAGCATCACCACCACCCCGCTGGCCCCGAGCACGAGCCAGGCCGCGTTGTTCACGGCGCGCACGGCGGGGGACCAGACGGCCACCGGCGGCGCCTCGGGGCGGAGGCCCTCCAGCAGCAGGGCCCAGCACGCGTAGGAGAGGAGGCAGAGGCCCAGCAGGCACGACTGCTTGCAGGTGGCTGGGAGGTAGTGCGCCACGTACGCGGACTCGAGCTGGGAGTCCGTGAAGGTCAGCAGCCGCCCAAAGGAGGCCACCTCCTTTCGAGGGGCAGCGGCAGGGGGGGACTGGCACTGGGGGGGGGGAACTTCGACCTGGAGTCGGCGGTGCATCGCCGATGGATCGGCGACGGGCCCCCGATGGCGAATCCGCACGCTCCTGGGCCGGGGTGAGCCATCAGACCCTCTTCGGCGATCAGGGGGCGATGGGGGGTCGATGCGTCCCCACCCCCCTGTGCCTATCGCCCCCTGCACGTCGGTCGGAGGAAGCACCTAAAGACATGAAGTGAGAAGGCGGATCAAGTCAGCTGGGCTCGGGCCTGGGAATCCGAAGATGCCGACCTTCCACGACAGGCGTGCATGCCCCCCCTGTCGTTGCCCCTCGTCCTTCGTATCCGCGAACAGGTCCCAGAGCCAGGCGTGGAAGCTCGGAAACTCGCCGCTGCCCGCGGAAGCCGCCGGAGAGGCCGCCCCGGCGGTCGTCGCTGGGCGCAGGCCGCCAGGCAGCCCGACGTCGAGCTCCTCCAGCATGTCGGCGGTGGGCTGCGAGCTCAGCATGCTGCGTCGCGCCGTCTGGCAGTGCCTGACGTCCAGCGCCTGGGCCGCCTCGAGCTCCTGGAAGTAGGCGCGGAACTCCTGGAACGACAGGCGGCCCTTGCCGTTGGAAGCCTCCTCCATGATCTGCTCCACGGTCTGGCCGTCCGGGAGCACCTCCGTGGGCAGCCCGTCTCCAGACAGCAGGCACCCCAGCTCCTGCATGGAGATGAAGCCGTCCCCGTCGCGATCGATGATGCTGAAAGCATACCGGATCAGTCGCTCGAAAACCTCACCCTCCATGCGAAGAGCTCCAGCGAGGAACTCCGTGAAAGACAGCCGCCCGTCCTTGTCCATGTCCAGAGAGGCCACGAGCTGCTTGGCATCCAAGCCTACGTCCATATCGATGATCATCTGCTCAACTTCGTCGATGGTCAGGTACCCCGAGTGGTCGACGTCGAGCGTCTGGAAGGCCTCCGAGAGGCGGCGCATGTCCTGGCCCGGGGCGGTGCCTGCCCCCAGCCCAGTCGCGACGCAGAACATGACGGCCCGCTGAAAGTGGCTGCCGCGGCCGAACGTCGACGGCAGCGCGCCCAGCAGAGGATGTGTGGAGAGGGTGCCCGCCTGGCCCTCCAGCACCCAGGGGTGCTCGCAGACGCCGCTCGCGGACAGGCGCGCCGCCGGGTCTTTGACGATCAGCGCCTGTAGCAGCTGCTGCACCGGCAGCGGCAGCAGCCCCCACTGCGGCTGCGTGGTCGTGATCTGGTGGAAGAGGTGGAAGACGTTCTCCGCCCCGCGGAAGGGCCTCCGGGGAAACCAAGAGGGTACCGATACCGCTACTCCCCGGACCACTCCGGGTGCGCGTTCTGACCAGGACTTCGAGGCGAAGCCAGCGGTGGCCACGAGGGCCGCCCTGGAGGCCCAACACCAGGGGAACACGAGGGAGGGGTAGAGGCATATGGGTACCTCTTCCTCCTCCGAGCCTCTCCCCGGCCAGCATCTCGAAGGCCATGACGCCGAGCGCCCACATGTCCGTCTGGCGCGTGACGCGGCCGTCGAAGCCCTCGGGCGCGAGGTAGGCCGGGGAGCCCTTGACGCAGCCCCGCGGCGCAGGCCCCGCGTCGCTGCCGGGGCCGCCGCCCGGCTCCTCGAAGAGCTCCGCCAGCCCGAAGTCCACCAGCAGCACGTGCGGCGCCTCGCCCGCCCGCGCCTCGTCCAGGGAGAACCTGCTGAGCAGCAGCGTGTTCGCGGGCTTCAGGTCGCAGTGTATGACGCCTGCGGCTGCCCACCAAGACCACCCCAGCCCAACCCAGAGGGCCGAGCTTCGGGTTGGGGGGGGGGTACGGGTTCCACGTGTGTCTTCTCGATGCTGTTGTTGTCCTCTCCCCGCTCCTCCTCTTGCATGGTGGCAAAATTCGCTCCAACGGCATCCCCGTTCAGGCATCCCATCGCCAGCGCAGACGTCCCCTGCCCAGCCGCCGGCGCAAAAAGCGTGTTCTCGATGTTCCCAGACCCACCCACACTGGAAATCGAGGTTACGTTTGCGACTTCGGGCTGGGCTGGGGAGGAAGAGGAGGTTGAGGAGGAGGAGGAGGAGGAGAAGGAGGAGGAGGAGGAGGAGGAGGAGGAGGAGGAGGAGGAGGAAGGAGGAGGAGGAGGAGGAGGAGGAGGAGGAGGAGGAGGAGGAGGAGGGGAGGGGGAGGATGAGGAGGGGAGGAGGAGGAGGAGGAGGAGGAGGAGGAGGAGGAGGAGGAGGAGGAGAAGGGGGAAAGGAGGAGGAGGAGGAGGAGGAGGAGGAGGAGGAGACCCCGTGTGCGCTCTCGCCGCTCGCCTCGCGAGTGGATGTACTCCAGCGCCGAGGCGACCTGCCGAGTGGCCGCGCGCACCCACGCCTCTGGCAGCAGGGCGGCCCGCCGCTGCACCCCGGCGATCACGCTGGCGAGGTCGCCCCCCTCGGCGTAGTCCATCACGATGTGGAGCTCCTCCTCGGTCTCGAAGGCCTCGGGGTCTCGAGGGCTTCGGGGACTTGGGGCTGCGGATGCCTTCGGAGGCTTCTGGGCCCCAGGGTGGTCTCCACCAACTGCCCCTCTCCGAGGGCGCTCCGAGGAAGCCGGGACCGTCCCGAGTGGCCGCCCGAGGCCCGAGTCATGTTCCGAAAGCCGCCCAAGTTCATGTCGATCCGGTCGATCCGGTTCGAAGCCAATCCCGGCCGCCTCGAACACACGCACGATGTGCGGGTGGTCCAGGGATTTCAGCGTGTCCATCTCGGCCTCCACCTGGTCCACCGCCAGGCCGAGCTGAACCTTGGGCACGGACTTCACGGCGCGGGCCACGCCCAGGGCCACGTGCAGCCACAGCTTCACCTCTCCGTAGGACCCGCGCCCCAGCACCGCTCCCTGCACGTAGTCCTTGGCCAGGTCGGAGCCCGAGCGCGTGTGCACAAAGCAGTGCCTTGTCACCCTCGTGCCCCTGCACCTGTCCAGCAGCACCTCCAGCCAGCGTATGAAGGCCCTGGCCCACTCCTCCTCTCCGACCGTCGTCGGCAGCTCGCCGTGCCCGATCTCCCGCCGCAGGTGCTTCCAGAGCATGGGAAACACGCTCTCGGGGAAGCCCCACCTCTCCCGCAGGAAGCTGAGCACGACGGTCAACCTCTCGGGGTTGCCCCCGAAGTGCTCGTACAGCTTGCCCGCAACGGCCCGGGAGTGCTCCCTGGAGGACAACAGCTGCTCCAGGCGCCCCTGGAGGTCCGTCCTCCCGGCGGCCACCGCCACGGGGGTGCGCGGATCGTCGGCAGAGCCCCCTCCAGCGCCCAGGCGCCTCGAGCTCCGATAGAACACGCCCTTCAGCTCGAGAGCCTGGTCCCTCCTGTGCGGCGCCGGCGACTGCGAGCCCCGCGACCGCGACCAGGACCTCTGGGGGGAGAGGGGCCCTTGTCATGGCGTGGACCCTTGTCATGGCGTGGACCCCCAGAGGTCTTTTGTTCGCGGGATGGTCTCGGCTGCTCCTCGGCGGCACCCGCCGGGAAAAGAGGCACGCGTCCGAACGAGGCCAAGCCTTCAGTGTGTCGGTCACGCGTTCGGTTACACTGCGTCTTCGGCCACGGTTTTGGGCAAACGTTCCAGCTACTTGCGCTTTGGGCTGTTAGGGTTTGGTCGGGCATGTCCTCCTACAGACGGGTTTTGGATAACACAAAAAATAGTCGAAAAGTAATCAACAAGGTTCATAATTAGTCAAAAATCGTCCCCAGACGATTTGTTTTACTACTTTTCAAGATTCCTCATGTAGGGCGATAGTCCCGACTTCATGTAGGGGCCGGGCGCCTGCCGCCGTGACTGGGTGCACGACGCGAGGACGGCAGGGGAGACCACACGCCACCACAGCAGGGCCCTCGCAGGCCCCCCCCCCTTCTGGGCACCAGGGCCGCGTGCTCCGAGCTCCTGGCCCGAGATGGGCCTCTGGACGCCTGGTGGCGGCGTGGTCGTTCTCACTCAGGGCGTGGTCGATCAACGGCCCGACAGGAAAAATGGTACCAGAGAGAAGCCACAATCAGAATCTGTTTAGGGCTATAAGGCTATGGGGCTATAGGGCTATGGGGCTATCGGGCTCTAGGGCCGTTAGTGCTAGAGGGCTATTAGGGCTGTAGGGCTATAGGGCTATAGGGTTATAGGGCTTTAGGGCTATTAGGGCTATTGGGGCTATTAGGGCTATTAGGGCTATCGGGGCTATTAGGTCTAGAGGGCTCTTTGCTACAAGGCTATAGGGCTATAGGGCTATAGGCCTGTTAGGGCCACAGGGCTATCAGGGCTATAGGGTTATAGGGCTATGGGGCTATAGGGAAATAAGGCTATAGGGTTATGGAGCTATCAGGGCTATAGGGCTGTAGGGCTGTTAGGGCTATAGGGCCATTAGGGTTATAGGGCTATAGGGCTGTAGGGCTATGGGGCTATTAGGGCTATAAGGCTATAGGGCTATAGGACTGTAGGGCTATAGGGATATAGGGCTATAGAGCTACAAGGCTAGAGGGCTACAAGGTTATAGGGATTATAGGGCTATAGGGCTACCGGGCACCTGGGCAACCGGACACCCGGGCGTGCCGCCGAAATCGGCGCCATACCTCACCTAACCATATGAAACCGCTAGGACCCCTACAGAGGCAAGCTCTGATTGGGGAACAAGCACAACAAGCACGTCGCATGCGCGGGGAGCGCGACGTCAACGATGAATGGAATGCCTTCTGCGCAAGGGGCGGGCCGTGTTCTGCCTGCTCGGCTCGCCGTGCGTGAATCGTTCGGCTCGTTCCGGAACCTTCGAACCCAACACACCTCTCAGGGGGGCGCGCCCTCTGCTTCCGCTGGCTTGCGCCAGCCTTCCGCCGGACGAGCCGCCCCCGTCCTGCACTCGCCAGCCGCGCCTGGCCGTCCGCCCGCCTCCGCCGAACCCCAAAAAATGTGACCTCCGGGTGCCTGGGAGGAGCGCTCCATAGATTTCCCTCTCCCGGACCTCTGCGGAGACCTGGTCTCTGAGGCGGCTTCGTCAGCGCAGTTGGAGCCCCTGCTCTTGACTGGCGACGGGATCCTGTGGCATGATGGAAAAGGGGTTCGGAAGGAAACGAGTCCTGGGCCCTGGCGCTGTGCCCAGGACCTGATCTCTTCGCCCTGAGCCGTTGTCTGACGGCCCCGGGGCCCAGGAAGGGCACGGGCAGGCCGAGAGAACAGCGAAAAGACTCACGACCTCCTTTCTCTTCCCCGTCCTTCCGGGGAGGCTGAAAAGTGGCGCCAGGGCGCAAGAACCTGCGCATCCTGCCGAGACTGCACGCCGCCCAGACGAGTGTGCACAGCCTTTTCCAGATGAGTGCGCCAGTCACTCGGGCCTCTCCGTGAGGGCCCCCGGCCCGAGATCGGGCGCACGCGCCAGGCAGGACAGGGAGGCGACGCCCACTCCTCGGGGCTGCCGGCGCTCTCTGGGAGGTCAGGGCTCGAGGCCCCCTCCTCTCCACGGCGAGATCCTCGAACCCGTGGGCGACGGGGTAGAAACCGCGGCCGACAGCGCGCGGCCCGATGGCGGGCCCGCTGGCAGGTCGCCGCAGGCGGCGGCGCCGGCGGCGTCCTCGGCCGCCGTCGTCGCCGGCAGCCGTCGCCGCAGCCGTCTGAGATCCGACGGCGCCACAAGAGTGCAACACCGCGGGCGACCACGACGGGAGCCCCAGACCCGATCTTCCCGCAGCATTCCTCGAAGGTCCCGATCCCTTCCCCTGGGACGTCGCTTCATGGGGAGGCGAGGAACAGGGGGGAAGAGCTGTGCACTTCTCGGGCCCGAGAGGCCCCCTTTGGGACCCCTAAAGGCCCTTTTCTGGGGGGCCCTGAAGGGCTTCTTCTCTGCAGCCCTCGCTGCGCCCCCCCGTGTATCGCCCCCCCATTACGCGACGCCCACTCCCCAGGGGCAGCTGGCCGACCTGGATCCGTTGTGTTGATTGTCCCCTTGGCCCCGGGGCCCGAAGGCGGGCTCCTTGGAGGCCGAGTGCGAGGACAGATCGCCGCCACGACAACAGCAAGCACATCCCCAAATGTCGGAATCCAGGGGCGGGCGCGAAAAGGCGGGGGGCGACCCTGCCCAGGGTCCTCGCAGGTGGCTCCCGACAGGCCAGCTGCGCCCGCGAGCTGGTCCGAGCTGAGCAGAGTGAGGGGGCCGAGCGGTCCTACAGAAGTCCCTGGATGCGTGGGGCTCCGCGGCGCGCATCGTCACTGCTGTTGCATTGTTGTCGTCGTCGCCCCGCGACCCACCCGCGGCCCACCCGCGCCGCGACCCACTGGCGACCCCCCAGCGCTGCACCCGCGCGCCCCCCCCGCTCCCATCCGCACCTGCGGGGGGCCAGGCCCCTCGGCGCGCTGAGCTCTGCGACCTCTCCCGAGGTCGGCTCTTGGCGCTCCGCTCCGATGCCGCTGCCGCCCTGCCGTGCCTCGCCTCCGCCGCCGCCGCTCGCCGGGCAGGCCAGGCCACCGCCGCCGCTCGCGCTCAGCGCCGCCGCCGCCCTCCGCCGCTCGCCGGCGGTCGCCGCCGCCCGCCGCTCGCCGCCGCCGCCGCCGCCGCTCTCGCCGGGCGGGCCGCCGCCGGCCGACGCCCGCGCGCGCGCGGCGTCCTCGGCGCCGCGGGCGCTGGCCGCGCCGAGGCCGCCGGGGCGGGCCCCGCCGCCGTGCACCGGCTCGCCGGGCGCGACGGGCATGGGCCGGGCCCGGGCCGCTCGGGAGCGGCGGGGCCGAGGTGCCCAAGCTTCCCAAGGCGTAGCCAATTAGGGCGAGGATACATTGTTGGGGTGGGCGTAAGAATCGAGAATCTCTGAGATCCTGCGGCGCTGGAGGATGTCTCGGCCGCCGCGGCCTCCTCGGAGCAGCCCACAACGCTCGGAGAGCGTTCCGGAGCCCTCGTCCTAGCCCCGTCCGACTTCCCCACTGTTGCCTGTCGAGGAACCCAGAGGTCCGACGCTCCAAAAAAATGGAGCGGCCAGCTTTTGGCCGTTTTCGGCCTCCGGGGGCCCTCGCCCGGCCTCGCGCGGGACCCCTTGAGAACACGGCTCCGGGCAAAAAACGGGCCCCGTGGAAGTGGTCCAGACCTCCTGGGCCCACGCATCGAAAAAGTTGGAGCGGCCGGATGCCTGGGGATTTGGACGCCCGAAATGGGTACGGAAAAAATGGGTGACGATGCCTCACAACAAATGTTGTCCCAAACCAACAGCGGCCGCTGTTGGGCAGGCGGTGGCGTGGACAGCGAGCCATGTTCAAAATGATCAGGCACTGCTCTTGGGCATTGTACCCATTCTTTCGGTACCCATTTCGGGCGTCCAGAGGGGCAAGGGGGGGGGCCCAGATGGCTTGCCCGGCCGAACTGCCTGGGTGCAGTGTCTCGCGGGGGCTTTGCAGAGGGCTGCGCGTGCCGGCCGTGCAGGTCTGCACGCGCCCGGCTATCGCGAGGGGAGGGAGAGAGGTGGACCAGCAAACAAACGGCGCCACCCCACCTGCGGCCCCGCGGGGCTCAGCGTATACCAGGAGATCTGGCGTGGGTGTCTGCGTGGTGTGCGCTGCGGCGCCCGATGGGCCGCAGCGCAACGTGGAGGGCCGTAGGTGGGGTGGCGCCGTTTGTTTGCTGGTCGAAGAAGGGAGGAGAAGGAACGACAAGGAGGCGGAGGAGGAGGAGAGGAACGAGCAAGGAGACGAGCAAAGGAGCGGCTTCCCCACAACCCCAATGTCGCCCTCGCGAGGTTGCCAGGCGCTCCCGCAGCCTCCCGAAAAGCTGTCATGCCCCGCGGGGTGCCTTCCCCCGCAGCCGCGCCTCACCGGGGGATCGAACCGTCCCGATCGGCCGCTGGAGACCCGAGCATGCACGACCCGAAAGCCAGCAGGGCTCCTCGCCGCTTCCGGCCCGATCACTAAAGAGGCCTCCCGGAGGGGGTCTGCGCAGATGCGGTCGGAGGATCGCGCCGCATCGAAGACACATCGGCGATGCATCGCCGATGTGCATCGGCGATGCATCGGCGATGCACCAGCGATGCGTCGGCGACGTGGGCGGTGCATCGGCGACGTCGACGTGAAGCAAATCAGGCTCCACGTCGAGCCGCACCGCCGATGCATCGGCGATGCGGCGCCATCCTCCGACCCCATCTACTCCGACCCCATCTAGCGGAGGCCTAGATCCCTTGCCCGGCCCCGGGGCCTCAGTGAAAGGCTCGGGGTGGACAGGCCGTGCCGGGGCAGCGGTGATCATCGAGACCTCCGGGAGCCCGCGCCGCGGAAAAGAAGACACGACGTCGGGCGCCTGGGCCCGGCGTCGAGGATCGAGCTCCGAGGATCGCGCCCTTCGCGGCGGCGAGGGTCGAGGATCGAGGATCGAGGACCGAGGATCGAGCCTCGAGGACCGAGGGTCGAGCCTCGAGCCTCGAGGATCGAGCCTCGAGGGGCAGGCGGCGGCGGCGGCCGCCGCTCTCGGCCCTGCGCGGCTGGAGGCCCGCCTCGGGGTGCTGGCCAGGGCGCAGCGGCGGGTGCCCACAGCTTCGCGGGGGAGAGCGGGAGGCCTGGGCACGCTCCGCCCTCCCCGCGGGCCCTGCGGGCGGTGCCGGCGGGCTGCAGGGCTCGAGCCCCTGCAGGCGGCGGCGCAGGTCGAGGCGGTCGAGAGCTCTGCGGCGCTCGGAGGACAGAAACCTCGTCGACGGAGACTCTCCTGCCGCTCTCGGCCTCTGGGATCCGTTGCCGGACGATTCGTTGCCGGGACTGTCAAATTATCCCGGCAAAGCAACCTAACAGCGATGTGTAGGAGCATATCTGGAAGCATTCCCCTTAAGATTCAGATGAGAAGCCAGTTGTAGAATTCTGCTGTTCTCGCAGTCGTAGTCGCATTCGCGGTGACAGTCGCAGTGGCAACGGCAGTCGCAGTCACAGCCTCAGCCTCAGCCTGCCTCAGCCTCAGTCTGCCTCAGCCTCAGCCTCAGCCTGCTTCAGCCTCAGCATCAGTCTGCCTTCAGCCTCGGCCTCAGCCTCCGCCTGACTCAGCCTCACCCTGCATGAGCCTCAGCCTGCCTCAGCATCAGCCTGCCTCAGCCTCGGCCTCAGCCTGCTTCAGCCTCAGCCTCAGTCTGCCTTCAGCCTCGGCCTCAGCCTCAGCCTGCCTCAGCCTCAGCCTGCCTCAGCCTCAGCATCAGCCTGCCTCAGCATTCAAAATGTTGCCCGGGAATG